TTTGGGACCGACGTATGCACTTGGACTGAGTCACATCCAGGCACTTATAAACATGCAGGTGTGTGTACGTGCTTATTTGGTAGAAGGATGACAGGAGATGAAAGTCATTTCGCCAAGGAAAACTAATATCTAAAAGAAAATGCTTTCCATGTATATAGACTTGGGTCTTTATTGGAAACAGCCCTGTCGTCTTGCAGAAGTGTCTGTGTGTGTGGTTGGCCATGTGGGGTGACGGGAGTGGACAGGTGGACAGACGCAGCGAGTAAAACCAGGATCGTTATCATCAGGGAAAAAAGGAAGCTTATACGATACTGGTAGAATGACAAGTAGCATTGTTTTGCCATTACACAGAGGACAGAATGTTTTTTAAATTGTGTGCACCTGGGCATTTAAGGGCTTGATTGTAGGTTTTTCCATAAGGGAGAAAGTCTATATTTTTATCTGGAACAACTAATGGGGAATCAGCATACCCTTTTTCATAGGTGTATCAATAGAAAGAGAATTACTGGCACAATGAACCAGTGATCTGGGAAGTAATTTAGTCTCTAATGCCAGAAGGTTTTATGACTTTAATTAGAGGTCAAGTTTAACTTTTTTGATATTTTTATTAAATGTGATTGTCTCTTCTTTAGTAAGTTCTTTTTATCTGTACATAGTGAATCACACGGACTTAGATTCATTGTACTTCATTTAAGGTGTAAAAAATTAGCAGTCGTTTTTCTTATGGAAAAACTAATCTAAAAATACTTTTTAAACCAGTAATTCAAGAAGTAATGACTTCCAAGTAATTACTTAACTATACCTTCAATTTCAAGGTGCAGGAGTATTTCTCTTATGAAAACAAACCAACTAACAAATGTGTTTCTGCTTGTTCTCGTGTTGTTGTAATCTGGGCTTATTAAATTATAGTGTTTTTTTCTTGAATCAAAGTTTTTTTTACTACTTTGAATCTATCTGATACATGTGTAACTGAAAATAATACTTTCCTGAGGGGGTAGTTAGTCATTTCACTGTCTAATCACTCCCTTTTATTGCTCTGAATGAGTTAGGTTCTGATTTGTTGGTGAGGGTATACACACACATTTTATGTTTTTTTTATTGTGAAATTACACGATGTGTATTTATAGAATTGGTAGCCAGAGTGTCTGGTCTTAAATATTTCTACCGTTAGTGGCTACAGGTTAATAACTTGCCGGTGTATCAGTTTGGAATGTGTTGAGTGGCAACAGAAATTCGACTAACAGTGGCTTAAAACCAGTGGGATTTATTTTTCGCATGGGGACTAAGTCCATAGGCTGGTAAGTCCAGAGTTAGCACCATGATGTGGGGACGTCACCAGACACTGGGGGCCTGTCTCCCTGCTCTGTCACGTGGGTTGCCTCCCGAGGTTCGTGAGGAATTGCTCTGTGCCAGGCCTCATGTCCTCACTCCAAGTAGAAAGAAGAAAGAGAGGCCTTTTTCAGGAAAGCAAAAGCTTTCCTCAGAAACCCACTCCAGAGGTATGATGTGCAGAAGAGGCTGGGAAGTCATTTTTTAAGTGGAGTACCCTGCCCTTCTGAGCACCGCCAGGGTGCGGCCGGTGGGCGAGCACCGGAAGGCAGGGCCCGAGCCGCGGGCCCCTTGCTGTGTCCGCCCCACCCTGCACCCTCTACTGACCCTTGGTTTCTGTCCCCATGTAGCAGGCGATTATTGTCCTCGCTGTAAGAATAGGAGCCAGCTGTTTAAAAATCGTGTTGCTCTGCTTCTTCTTCCTGCAGAGGACTTCCGTTCCTCACACCATTGGTAACATCTTGGAATCTCTGGGTCTGTGGTCTCGAACTGCGGCCCAGGGCTCGCTCTCTCACTGCCTGCAGGGCCGCTCCGCTCGGAAGTTTGCTGATTACAGTCATGTTCGCAGCTCGGTATCTTGATCTTCTGCTTGTTTGTTTCACTCAGGGTCGTCAGCCTTTTCCCAAGCTGCAAACCTAGAAGAACCCTAACTTCTCAGATTCCTTTGTTCTCTGATCCAGCTTGCCACCCACTGCAGTTCGCTGCGCTGAAGTGCATTGGAGTTGACCCCTCTCCCCGAAACGGTCCCTGCTGTGGCCCTGACCCCCCCTTTTTCATTCCTTCCGCCCGTCAGTGATTCTCATTTTCTTGAAACCTCGCTCTATAAATATGTCTGCCCGACTTAAGAGTTTTTAAACCAAGTGCAAGTTGCTTTCCTCTTTCAAAGTTTTCATTCATAGCATACTCATTAAATCTTTATTTACGTTTATTTCTCAATGTTAAATAGTCTTTCATAGAATGTTCTCTTCAAGGCACTGTTTCTTACTTATCATCATTAATCAATACACTATAAGTTCCTGTCATAGAGACTTTTACCCTTCTCTTCCCTAGTTGTGTCCCCAAACCCTCCCTCCCAGGCTGTTTTGACCTTCTCGTGTCAAATCGTATCTTTCAAGGCCCAGCTTCTGAATTCCCTCCTTGACAATTCCTGCCTGTGTGCTTTTGTAGCTATTCTACACTAGAGTTGGAAGAAGTGTGGTACAGTGGAATTTCTTTAGAGTCAGGTAAATGTGGGTTTAAATCTTGATTTAGCCACTTACTAACTTTTTGACCTTAGACAAGTTAGCCTTTCTAAACTAGTTTTCTTCTCTGTAATTTTTTTCTATTTTTAAAAAAGATTTTTAAAAATTTATTTCAGAGAGACAGGAAGGGAAGAAGGAAGAAAGGGAGAGAAACATTGATGCATAAAAGATACACGAGTAGCCTCTCACGCACCCCAGCCAGGGACCTGGCCTGCAGCCTAGCCACGTGCCCTGACTGGGAATCGAACTGGCGACCCTTCAGTCCACAGACCAGTGCTCAATCCACTGAGCCACACCAACCAGGGCTCTTATCTATACATTCTAAATAATCATGTGCATACATATATGCATGTACACACATATGCACCTCTTTGTGAAAGTACAATGAGATAATAGTATTAAGGATTGTTGCATGAAAACAAAAACTTAGAATAATAGTGTCTTAAATAAAGTTGAAGTATATTTTTTTTCTCGTGTGAAAGAAGTGCAGGAGTATGTAGTCCAGGGCTCGTCTGGTAGGTGGCTTCATGTTCATCTGAGACCAGGCTTCCTCTGTCTTTCTTTTCTGTCATTCTAGCGCATGGCTTCTACATCAGCACTGGGATTACCATGTATTCCAAGGTGGCTGCTGGAGTGCTAGCCATCATCACTGCATTCCAGGTAGCAAAAGGAGGAAGGAAAAAAATGGTCTGCTTCCTACCTCAGTCAGTTTGCTTTAACCAGTCTTCTTGGAAGTGTCTCACAACCCTTATGTTTATAGTCTCTTCAGCCAGCACTTAGTCACATGACTACATTTACTAAAAGGAGGCTGTGAAGCTTAATCTTTTCAATAGTTACATTGCTGCACAAAATAAAATTACTCTGCTATTACTAAAGAAGAAGGAGATAAGAATGTTGGGTGGCCATAGGCAGACTCAGCCATAACTGCCTATTGTGGCACCTGGCAAATGGTAAGGTTTAGCAAGTGTCTTTATGCCTCTCTTCTGTTTTATTGAGAGTCAGCTTAGCACTTAATTCTTCTTTGCTTCATATGCATCTTATTTTTTCAGCTACATTGAAAGTTTCATGGGAGATAAGGGCCAGGAGTCAAACTTGTTTGTTGTGTTTTGAAACACCTAGCGGAGTGCTTGACACTGGGACCCCATAGTAAGAATTTGGGGGGGGGCACAGTACTTGTTAGTTAATGGATTTTGCTTTGCACTAGGACTGTACTTCTTTGGGCCTTTGGCTGCCTATTGCCCGCCTGTCTGGTTATTTGAGACTTTACAAACTAGCAGCTGACGCGAGAGGATGTACTGAAGATGTTCATTCTTTTGCTAATTTCCTGTTTTCTAATCCCTTAAAAGTTAATCTGTGGAATTGAACATTTAACATGTGATCTTTCTTTCATTAATGTTAATGTATTTTGAATGTTCCCCCCCCCAACCCCAATGTTTTGGGACAGATTCCCCAAATTGAACCTTAAGAGTAATGTGTACACATACATTACCTAAATCTATTACATACAATGTACGTGTTCATTGTGAATGTATAGATTTTCTATTCAAAAAGCTGTGTTTGGAAAGGCCTCAGGAAATGATTTGTGTGTGTGTGTGCATATTTAACTTACCAGTTGGTTTGTAAGGAAGCTCAGTAGTTTGAAAAAAATCTTAGGTCACATTTCTTTATTAAGTACTTTTTGAGTTCCTGTTTTCCAAGAAAGGGGTAAGTAACTGGAGATGGGAAACGTTCTTCATGAAGATGAAGAAACAGTACTGTTGCTGGAGACTTCTTTCCCGGTAATAGTACTGTGCTTGGGTCAGAGTTTATATAAAAATAGGATCTTACAGAATCAAAGTATCTTGTGATAGAAACGTTTATGAGTTCTTTTCATTCTACTTTGGAACTCATTCGATGGAACATTTTTAACATGCTGTATGCTTCCTTCCAATTTATTCTGTCCTGGAAATATTGCATCATTAGTACGTGAGCATATAAATATAATACAATTTCTTTCATAGCCCATCACCAATGTGCTAACATATTCACACACTCAGACATGCATATGTCTTATATAAACACACATAAAAAAGGTTAAGAGATAAAGATATGCTCCTACAAATTCTGAGGTATAAATATCTATGCATATATATATATAAAATTCAGTACTGTACACTCAGAAAAAGTCCATAGTAGACAGCAGAGATGAGTGGAAATTTGATTTGATGTTTAGGGTGAATTTTAAGTGGGTGGGAGAGAGGGGCCTCGTCAACCCAGTAAGCACACAGTGTCAATAAAGAACAAGAATCCATGTCAACTAAAAATTGTAACAACGTTGTGATATACTTTTCTTCACTGATACTTTCTGACCGGTATACGAATGACTTAGAGCCATTTATGCAAAGTTGATACTTCTTTTCAGTTGGACTTTCTTTGGTTTTGTTCTCATAGATGTTTTCTCCCAGATGTCAGACTCCAACGGCTTAATGATCTTTAGCAAGTTCGACCAGTTTCTGAAGGAAGTGCTGAAGCTCCCCACCGCCGTCTTCGAGGGGCCGTCCTTCGGCTACACGGAGCACTCCGCCCGCGCCTGCTTCCCGCAGCAGGTGAGGCCCGGAGGGGCGCTCGCCCACCCTCCAGCGTTTGCCCCGTCTCCCCAGGTCGCCTCGGTCTAGGGATACAGGTCTCCTGCGTCGGGGAGGAAACGGGGTTAAAGTCAGGGGTGGGGAGTCTGGGGGGCTGGAAAAGGGGGCATTAAAATTCACCCGAAGACTTTTTTGAGGGGTGGGGAGGGGCGTATTTTCTGGGGAAAAAAAAAACATTTGAAATATTTTAAATGACTAAACATTTAAAGAAAAGTGCTCATGATGAAGTGTCTGTATCGTTGCTACCGAACACGTATTGCTCTTTCTGATGAGTTCTGTGAACTGTGGGATCTGGGGGTCGGGTGTGACGCTCCCTGCGGCCCCGGGTCCTGGGTCCTGGGTCCTGGGTCCCGATCACCGGAGACAGGCCGAGCTGCTCAGCTCCTGGCTCCACGCCAGGCCCCGCCCCCGGGAACCCGTGTGGAGCACACGCTGCCGTTTTTACACGAAAATGAGAGATTTGGTTTCCGCTGCGTTCGTGGGTGCCCTTCCACCGCCCTTCCCCAGAGGCTCATAGGAGTCCCTCCCTGAGACATCAGCTGTGCCTTGGGGCGGAACAGGTGCTGGCTGTAGCGTCCTTTTTTTTGTAGGAAAAGATGAGATAAAAGGAGCTTCCTGCTATATTTGGAAAGTTCTGGAAAGCAGGGAATTAAGAAAAAAACTATGTTAGCTAAGGGGTGAAAGATTAATGGAGAAAGGCTATTGACATAGTTTGAAAGTATCTCCCCATAAAAGATTTATTTATTACAAAGGATACAGTGACTCAGTGGTGGAGAAACCTGTCAAACATCACTTTAACCAGGTGACAACCAAATGCCTGCCACCAGCCAGAGGGACAGGCTGACACCCCCAGCTCCCAGGAGGGCGCACCGGGGGAGGCCCCGCACCACTGCCGCGCTCCTGCCCGGGGGGCACTCCCACGTCTCGTCTGGTCTTCCCGAGGGCAGGGTCTCTGCATCATAAACCGTCAGTGTCGGGAAGACCCAGGAGGACTAAGGGACTCTTCCAGAGCCCAGGGGCCCACAGAGATGGGAAGCCTGAACACGACCCACGACCCAGGCTTTTCTCTTGTTATAACAGATGTTATGGGGGTGTTCTGGAAAAATCTGAAGAAAGCTGGTAGACTAGATAATAGTATTCTGTCAGTGAATGTTAATGTCCTGATTTTGATATTTGTGGTAAAGGAATGTCCTGGTTTTTGAGAAACATGTATGATACGAGGAATTTAAGGGTGAAGGGGCATCTGTGCTGCGGTGTTAACACCTGAGGAACCTGGGATAATGGTAAATGGAATTTTTAAAATAGTCTCTTACAATCTTTCTGTAAGTCTGAAATTAGTTGAGCATAAAAGTTAAAATATAAAACGAACAAGCTCTCCTGACCTGTGATACTTTGATTCACAAAAGAAGCAAAAGCATGCATATACCCCTTTTTACATTTAAAGTGAAGAATCCGTATTTATCTGAATTCAGACTTTCAAACAACATTTTATAATTTGTTTAGAGGGTCCCAACTTCAGCACTGAAGGGGGCACCTATAAATACTGGAGAGTTATTTTTAGTAACTTCTGAGGAGACGTTCTTCCCAAATTTGTACACGTGCCGGCTGATCTTGTGAAAATCAGCCTCTATACATTATTTATTTTCTCTCTCAGCATAAATAGCAGTATCAGCTTTTAGCGTATTAAAAATATCTCTGTGCTTCAGTTTATTCTAATAAAGCACAGTTTGCACTCCCCCCTCGGAATATGCATTTTCAAACGACACGGGGCTGTCCAAATGCACCCGGTACTGAGCATCCTGCAGGCAGCGAAGGGTCCTGCAGAGCTGTGACCGAGGGAGAGGACGAGGAAGACACGGCAACAGTGCTGTGGGGGGAATCTTGTGTCTGATGAGCACGTAGCTCTTTTCACGGCGGCTTCCTCTTGGTCAGGCAGAAAACGGGTCCCGTTCTGGAACGCTGCTGTCAAGTAACGTCGTCTCAGGCCGGGGGAGAGAATTTGTACACAGAAGTATCGTTGAAGAACAACAGTTGTCCAAGGGGTGGTAGTTCTGTGGAGCACTAGCTAAAGCAGTCGACTTTACTGGTAACGTGCGTCCTGTAAGGAGGATCCGGTGTTGGAATAACAGTTGAACATGGTGGAGAATATTAAAAAAATTCTAGTTGTGATCTAAGAACGCTGTCTGGGATTCTCTGAATTACCTTATGCCACGATTGTCGGGCCTTTAAACTCACAGCCTAATTGCTGCTTTTCGCTTGCTTCAGATTCCCATAAAAAACTCAGGCTCTGGTTTTAAACTTGTCAAGTGTGGAAAAGTCGAAGAAGCACGGGAATGTTGAATTTTCCTAGGTCTCAAAGATGACAAAAAGGCTCCCAAATAGTAGAAACGACTGAAGGAATGACCAAAAACGATGAGACCTGGGACAGAGTTTCATACAACAAGAGTGAAATTCATTTACGGGAACAAACTTAAAGGACACATGGACAAAAACTAGGGGGAGGGTGGTAATGGGAGGGAAGAGGGGAGGGTTGGGTGGGTGGGCTGGATTGGGAGTAAAAGGGAGAAAACTGTACTTGAACAATGATTAAAATATAATTAAAAAAAGAAAACATAAAAGAAAAAGTGAAATTCAGTGAGTTTTGGTTTTCTTTTTGAAAATGGGCCTTTTCTATATGGTTTGTTTTCCTGCATTTTTTAAAAAAGATTTTATTTATTTTCAGACAAAGGGGAAGGGAGGGAGAAAGAGGGAGAGAAACGCTGATCAGTTGCCTCTTGTGCGCCTCCAACTGGGGACCTGGTCCACAACCCAGGTGTGTGCCCTGACCGGGAGTCGAACTGGCGACCTTCCGGTTTGCAGGCCGGCGCGTGCACCGAGCCACAGCAGCCAGGGCAGTTGTTTTCTTTTTAAAAAAGGACTTTTGTCAGTTAGGAACGCCAGTGCCAACTGTGTACTTGCTGTGGGAAAGGCTCCCCACCCCACCCCACCAGACCCCTGACCCTCTCAGTTCCTACCCACGAGCTGAAAATGGGTCCTAATGCGTTCAGTCCCGCCCCTGGCCCGTGGCCGGGCTGAGCGCTGCTGGGCGCGGAGGGCTGGGGGCCGGGGGCCCAGGCCCTTCTCTGGGGTGCAGTGGTGGCACGCCCACTCCGCCCTCTGCCCCCCAGCCTTGTGCTCACGAGTCTTCAGGGAAAGCAGGAAAATTCTTCGCCAGCAAAACCAAGGACCCTGGTCTCCTGGTCTCTGTACTTGATGGCCTAATGGCCCCTCTCAGATATTGCTTTTGTCTTATTATTCCTTTTAATCAGAAGCAAGTTGGAGTCAGCATTTTAAATACAGCTCTGCTGATGTCCCTATTTTGCTTAAAAACACACGACTAACTCCTGTTTCCTAGTGGGTGAGGTTTTTTATGGTGGCACCATCAATGTAGCCCCAGCCTCGCTGTCCACCTGGGCTCCACGGCGCCCCTCAGACCCCCTCCACCAGCCTGCCCGGGGGGCTTTCTGGAGGTTCCCGAAGCGCCACAGGAGCCGCGATGTCCCCTGGGACCTGCCCGCCGGGAGTGTGTAAGGGCGTCTGTTCCTCCCCATCCCTGCAGCAGCACATGTTCTTACATTTATGACTTTCTGCCAATCTGTAAGGTGAGAATGTTGCCTCAGTATAGTTTTGATTTGCGTTTCTCTTGTGTTGGGTAATGTGCGTTTGGAATGAGCGAGAGCAGCGCCGTTCTCGTCGTTGTTTATGCTGTTCAAGCTCTCACCGGAAACACCAGGAACCCGACCCCTCTCCTCCAATGAAGGCCTCACGTGTCAGGTCCCTACTGCATCCCCTCTTGTCTGACCCTCTGAGTGCGTCAGTGCAGGGTGACCCTTCCTCCTCTGCAGCCCAGCGACACGTCACAGCTAGCTCACGGGCCCCGAGGGCGCCCTCTGTCTCCCTCGGCCTTCCGTCCCCTTGACAACAGTGCCTGCAAAGTGCTCAGTGCTCACTGGGGGTGTGGTGTGCTGGGTTGGGTGGTGATTTTGAGTCAAAGAGGCATGAGACAGGGTCTTTGGCTTGAATGCCGAGAGAAGCTCGAAGCTCACGGAGACTCTCACGGCTTGTTGTTTTTTTTTTATGTTATTCCACAGTTTTCTCAGATGAAACAGTCTTTGTGGTCGGGAGGATGAAGTTTCTCCCATTTTTCTTTTGGCTATAATAAATCAAAATTCCTCTGATAAAAAGCATGACAACATTATGTTGTGTATTACAAATACTCTAATTTTCAGAGTCCACAATAAACCTATGATATGGACAAATTCCATGGCTAATAATAATCGAAAGGCGGATCCATAGCTCCAGTCCCATAACCAGTTTTTTCTAACCAGTGTGTTTGCCTCTGTCGGGTTAAACAGTGTTGTAACTCCACACAGAAGTTTGCATGAAGCCATTTTCATCTAAAAGTTTCTAAAAATATGTTAACCAAATGTCATACTTACAACTGATTACCAAGCAAAAGAGCAGTGGACAAGAGATACTTACCCGTCGCCCATAAGGATATGAGTTTTTAATGGAAAGGATGAGATAGGGAATTGCATCCATGCTGATCTAACGCTGAACTATTTTGCTTGTTTTCTCATGTACTTCTGCGTTTCTCATTTTTAGGAGATGGTTCCACTTCCTTTTTAAAACAGGGAAGATGTAGCCAGGGGCAGAGGGAGGGGAATGAGAATGGCATTCAGGGCAATAAATTGTTGATATTGAGGATTAGAATGACAGCGGGCAGGAACTGGGTGACAAACAGAAACATTCCTCTTTAAGACAAGAGTGGGAGTGCATTCCAAGGTACAAACAGCCTCAGCACTCGACTGAGGAGGTCTGTGCACAGACCATGGTGTTTGCTGAGTGGGTCAGCTGTTAGAGTGATTAGAAATGAGGATCTTGTAGCAAAACAATAAAATGTTTAATGAAATGTTAAATGAAAAAACAGATTACATGGTTTTTACTACTCTGTGCACATAATTACATAGAAACATTTATACATTTGGAGGGAGATACAGAAAAATGAGAATCGTGGGGGGGCAAATTTTCATCATTTGCAATTTTATTATAGTGTGTGTTATAAATATTTTTGTGCTATAAAAAAATAAGGAGATATGCAAAGGATGTGTTCAACTCAAGAGGAAAAATAAAATAAAACAGAAAGGGAGAAAAAAGAGCCAGCCTTTCACACAGTAATGTAGTAAGTCACAGTTTTTAAGCTGGAATTCCATCCCAATAAAGTTCTCAAATTTTTGATCTCAGGACTTCATTAGAATACAAAGTATTGAGGACCCCCAAGAGCTTTTGTTTGTGTGGGTTATGTCCATCAATATCTCCATATTATAAATTAAAATGGATAAATTAAAGAGTATTTTAAGTCATTGAAAAAACAATGATAAACCTGTTGCATGTTAAGATAAGTAATATATTTTAATGAAAACAAAATAGCTATTCCAAAATCAAAGCATTTAATGAGAATGCCATTGTTTGGTATTTTTGTGGATCTAGGATTTGCTTAGTTGAAGACAGCTGGTGTCTCGTAGTTGCTTATGCGTTCCGTCTGTCGTGCTGGGTTTCGGTTAAAGTGTAGGAAGGAAATCTGGGCTCGCGCAGTCAGGTCGCTGGCAGGAGGGGGAGTGTTTTCCTAGCTTTTAGAGGTAATTGTGGACTTACCAGATCTCCTCTGGAACACCCCGCTGTACACTCAATAGGAGAATGGTATTGAAACAAGCAATCGTGTCTTAGTTTTATTATGAAAATAGTTTTGGTTTCGTGAACTTTCTAAAAATGTTTTAGGGACCTCCCAGGGGTACCCCTGACTATGCTTTTGGGAACCATGCCCTTGAGAAATGAGAAAGCCGAAACCAGATTGTTAACCGATTTTCCCCCCAAAATCACATGTTAATGGAAGACAGAAACTGGGGTATAGTTCTGGTTTGATTTCTCACACTTACAGGGGATTTCACATGACAGTATGACCTTAGGACAGCTAGCGTGTTTATGAGGGTCTTCTGAGATAGTAAATCTAATTGTTCCTTTTTGTCTTGAACATTAAAAAAAAGTTAAATTCCATGACTGGTGAACTAAAACTTTTAAAAAATTTTATTGAAAAAATTTTTAAAAGACTTTATTTATTTATTTTTAGAGAGGGGAAGGGAGGGAGAAAGAGAGGAAGAGAAACATCAGTGTATGGTTGTCTCACATGCCCTCCACTGGGGACCTGGCCTGCAACCCAGGCATGTGCTCTGATTGGGAATCGAAACTGCGACCCTTTGGTTCACAGCCTGCTCTCAATCCACTGAGCCAACCAAACAGGGACTTTTTAAAAAAATCTTTACCTGAGGACATGCTTATTGATTTTAGGGAGAGGGGGAAGGGAGGGAGAAATAGAGGGAGAGAAACATTAGTGTATGATTGTCTCTCACATGCCCCCTACTGGGGACCTGGCCCGCAACCCAGGCATGTGCCCTGACTGGGAATTGAACTGATGACCCCTTTGGTTCACAGGCTGGCATCCAGTTCCTTGAGCCACACCAGCCAGGGCTACCAGTTTCTTCTTTCCAAGACTCTTTTCAAAAAAAGAATGACTTCTAATTTGCGTGTAATAGAATCAAGATTCTCACAGATTGCCAAGAAGATACCCACTTCAGCCTGTGTGGTCCCGCGTCTGTGTGCTGGGCCCGACGTTGGAAGGCATTGCGGTGGGTCGGGGAAGCTCCCGGAGGCGCTTGTCCGCCTGGCCAGACGCCACGCTGCCTGCACTCCTTGCTCCCCCTCTGTGTCCAGTGCGTTAGTGGCAAAAGCCAAAGTTACTTTGTAATGGATTGGCAAAGTATTTGTCCGCTCTCACCAAGTTGTTATTTTCTACCCTTTTTTTCTGAAGTGTTTTAAAGTTTTGCGGGGAAGCCCTGTAATTTTTATACCCTGTTTTGCCCGTTAAATAAAGTGGTGGGACCGAGAAGGCACAGCTTGGGAGAGGGGGGGTTGACATTCTGGGTGCCTTGTGGCTTCACCCCAGCCCCAATGCTCAGTGTCTCCCTGGCCCCAGCCTTTGAGTGGTGGGGCCAGGCCTTGGCAGGGGCCTGTGCACTGGGCTGTGCGTCTCTTACTCTCCTGCCTTGGCCTTTCGCCTTTGCTCTCCTCTCGGAATGAGGTGTGAAGTGGGGGCCTACGTGTCCAGGTCACAGAGACAGAACTCCAACATCTGGTTCCATGGCACTGCCTTTTCCTCCTCGTTCCTTTCTTCTTGGAGCTAGAAGCGTGTTTTGTGGGTTAGAGAAAATCAAAAGAAAATTCATTAATTCGGAATATTGTTGAGAACGTGTTCTGTCTCCATCATTTGACTGTTTTTATTCTAGACGGTTTTCTAAGTTTCTAGGTCTGCATGGGACGGGATTTTATGAGTGTTTCCCATACAGTGGAAGCTTGCTGTACATTGGTTTAAAAGAGAGAAACAGCGATAGGACAGAAGAATGCAGTCCAGCCAGGGAGGTGGTGTGATGGAGGGCATACCGTGATGGGCATTTGGATGGTTAGGTTCTAATCGCATCCTTCTTATAACCGTCTCTGTGCTGGATCAAACAACTCACTCCTCTGAGCTTCAGTTCTCTCTTCTGTAAACGAGAAGGTGGTTCAGTGGTGGCCGAGAGTGTTTGCCCCTCACGTTGTTCTTTCGGCGATTGCTTGCTCACTGCCTATTGAGTGCCCTGCACCGTTCCGAATGCTGGCAGCGGGAGGAAGTGTCGTGTGAGCAGGGGCCGGGCGGGAGCCCCCACTGCGCAGCAGGAGTGGGAATTCGAAGGGCGTCCGAGTTCTAGTCCTGCTCTGTCTCTGATTTTGGCAGGACCTTTACAAGTCGTTCAAATGCTCTGTTCTTTGATTTTGTCATCTGCAAAACAAAGGTAGCAATACCTAACTTATTTATCTTATGCCGTTGTTTTAAGACTCAGATAAAGCGATGTATGTGGAAATGTATTTGAATATAGGAGTGGTATATATAGTACAGTGTGTGGCAGTGTCTGTAGGAATGTACAATCTTTTATTTTGCTGTAAAACTCCACGTGTACTTTATCATGGCTTGGTTGGGGGAGTCCTAAGTAAACTCAATCTTGGAGTTCAGAGGTACTTGAAAAATATGAAGTGTGTATATTTTTGTTTTCACAGAAAAAGATAATGCTAAACATGTTCTTAGACACCATGATGGCCGACCCCCCTCCCCAGTGCCTTGTCTGGCTGCCCCTCATGCACAGGCTCGCCCACGTGGAGAACGGTAAGCAGGACCCTCGCCCGCAGTCCCTTGCGCTGTAGGGAGTGTGGGAACTGGGGGCGTTGCGCTGGTCATGTCCTTGGCTCCTATGATTGAAATTACAATTGACATTTGCTGGCACGTCGTCATTTGAATTGGTGACTTTAGCTTTCAAGGGAAGAATGTGTCTCAAAAAAAGGAGTGGTGAGGGTCTTATTCCTTAGATGGGGTGCCCAGAAGTAGTAACCGCAGGCCCTGAAACTCTGTGGCTCGGAACCTCCCCGCCCCCCACCCCCGTCCCGCCCCGAGGTTCCAGGTGCTGGTTTTTGGCTGGAGCCCACCATAGCTTCTTTGTCCCTTTGATTCATAAAGATCATAGATCTAAAAAAGTGGATATATTCAGTATCAGCCACTGAAACTGTCACTGTTTTTGAGTTGTTTGAAGGAAAGTGGCTAAGAAAGAACTGCACACATCTCCAGTGTTTTACTATTTGACCTTGGTTTACTCTCAGGATCCTTCCCAGTAATTTGGTTTAAACCTTTGTTTCAACTTGGAATGGAAATGGCACTTGTCTCTTAGTGACTTACTACTCTTTATCTGCTATCGCTATCACTTGATCTCCTGGCTTAGGCTGTTTATTAAAGGGAAGGCTGCGGTTTTTCTCTGCAGCCTGACCTCTCGCGAGGCTCTCGCTGTCTCTCCTCCTTTCACACGAGAACAGCGATAGCTGAGAGGCTCTGGAAGCAGAGTCCTCTTTCTCCTGTGTGAGAATGGAACACACTTTTGTAAATTTTTATCCTCCCCCCTTATCCATACTGTTTTTACTTTGAAACTGTGGCTTTGGTGCACAAGTACCTTAGATCCACAATTATTGTCTTAAAGGTTCAGTATCTCTTACTAGAGTGAAACAACTAAAATTTTTAAGAGGATTTTCGGATAGAGACTTATACTGTTAAATTATTACAGTGTTATTGGTTCTTTTGGAGGCACTACTTTTAAGGCCTTAAATGTTTTCATAGCTTTATAGATGATTCCTTTTCATAAAATAATTTTGTATCTGCTATACCAAGTAGAAAGAAACTCATTTTTCTTGATGTATTATTATTCATATGAACATTTTATTATGAATTTGCATTATTTATTGATTACATCCTTATGTGATTATTGATATTTTCCTTAGAGACAGAAATATTATGAACTTATTGGAATACCTAGAAAATAAAGCATTACCTACTACATGAACATTTATCTACATATCTTAATATTTATGATGGGAAACAAATTATGGTGATTTTAGGGTTTTTTGTTGTTTGGGCCCTTCTTAGGAAATTCATCATTCAAATTCTATTGAAGTTACTGTTTATAAGGACAAATATTTATTTGCTTAAGCAAAAGTTGCATTTTTTAGTACTGGCTTACTAACTCAAGTGTATGTAGTAAGTATATCAGAAGTTAACTACCACATAATGTGGTAGTTATTCCAAATACACTTTTTGGAATAAAATAAAGTGTTCCAAAAAGAACACTTTACCAAAACCTGATCTCATTTCTAATTGGCCCGGCACACTTGTCGACTCTGTCCTCACTCTGGTTCTCTGCGCTGTCTGCCCGGTCACCCACTCCACTGACTAATGTAAGCGCTGGCTGTCTCTCGACCAGTTACAAGAGAGGAAACATCACATAGACATACATGATCAGCCAAAATGACCAGAACATATTTGAGAGTTTAATATTGACATACATGTCATTTAATACTGACCCCGAATTATTGCATGGGATTATATATGTTGGTGCACTTATGCTGCATGCACTGATTTAGATTGATTTAGGAGTATGTTTTCTGACAGAACTCTGCTAAGTTGTATAGTTTTAATTGGGAACACAGACTCAGCATTTTTATGATTCCTTAGAAATTTTTTTATGATAAAAGCTTGAATTTCTTAGAGGAAGTATGTCCTTTGGATTTCTCGTTTGTATTTTGCTTTTCTTTTTGTCTTTTTTATCTTGTTATATTGTTTTCTTCATCTAGTGCTCAATTTTTTTTTGACTCTTGATTTCCTAGTTAATACACATTTTTGGAAGTAGGACTAAAAATCCTTAAAATTGAGATAAGATTGCTTTGTGTATAAAGTGCTAGAAAGAGTCATTGAGATTGAAGATTTGAATATTATGAGGGGGACCCCCTGAAAATGGAATTTATTTATAAAAAATTGTGTATTTATCCTTAGATGTTTGCACTTCAGTCACCTTCAAAGTACTCTCCATTCGATCCAGTACACCTGTCGAGATGTTCTTTCCGCTGCTCAAAACAGTTTTTGAACACGTCGATTTTGATGCCTTTTAGTGCCACAGCAGTTTTTTTGTTTCACCTCTTCCACATCAACAAAACGTTTCCCTTTGAGGACTTTTTTCATTCAGGGAAACAAAAAAAAAGTCACTGGGGCGAGATGGGGCAAATAGGGAGGGTGGGGCACAGGGTTGATGCAGATTTTGGTCAAAAACTGCTGATCGCTCAGCATGATGTGGGCAGGTGCACTTGTAAATCACCATCATGAAATGGGCAAATGCATTGAAAGAGTCTTCAAAAAAAATTCACTGAAGCTGAACGCAGCCTCTTACAACAACGCCAGCTGGTGCACTGATACAGACGGGTTCCTAGAACACTCACCTAGTGGGGGAAGTCTGTACTATAAGGGGCCCGCCCTCCAGAAGATAATTCTATTTTGGGGGGATTCCCCCTCATATATCCATATTTCCTGCTGACTTTCATTTCTTCTATTCAGAAGTGAATTGCCACAGGGAACAATTACACTACCAAAATTTAAAAATATAAATAATAATCTATAATATACAACTGTGAACTAGGCTTCCCACTCAGTGAACTAGATTTTCTAGCTCTAAGAGAATCCCAGTAAAATTTTTTTTAAGGTTTTATGTATTTATTTTTAGAGAGGGGAAGCGGGGCAGGCGGAGATAAACATCAATGTGTGGTTGCCTTTCAAGCTCCCCTTACTGGGAACCTGGCCCACAACTCAGGCATGTGCCCTGACTCGAACTGGCAACCCTTTGGTTTGTAGGCTGGCACTCAATCCACTGGGCTACACCAGCCAGGGCCCAGTAAAATCTTGATGAATCCTTATTGCCATCTGACAGTGTTTCACAAGGTAAGAAGCCCAGCGTGGTAGAGAAAAGAGCTGCAGACCATGGAGTTTCCCTTCCTCCAAATTACTGTCTCTTCCTTGGTCTAGAGTATTTTATTTTTATGATGCTACTTAGAGCTCTTGGCCCAAACTGCTATTTTAGTATGTCATGTCTTACTTTTTACCAGTTACCTTTTGAGCCCAGGTGTGTGGGCGTATTTAATTCAGGAAACATCTGCAAGTCCTCATTCCAAGGGGCTGTGTAAAATACTGTTTGCAGTGACAGTGATACATGGTACTCATCCTGGTGCTCACGGACTTTATGTTAGTGAAGGAAACAAACTCATACACGTACACCCCACCGTGATACGTAGTAGCTCTTAAAAAAGCAGTGGGTTTGGAACAGGAATTTTGGAGTGAAGGCTTTTCTTTCCTCCTTATTTGTATCCTCATCTAAATTTCGAGAAACAGGCATTTCATTTTAAAGAAAGAAATTGGCAGCAGGAGGCTAGGAGGGGAAGCCGGTGCTGGCTGTACTTGCAAGGCTGTGTGACTCAGGCAGCCCTGCGGGGACAGCAGGCCTCAGCAGTACCCTTTCTCCCTGCTGTCTCAGTGCTGTGCTTCCCTGCCCCCGCCAAGTCCTGCGCTTGTCCCGGGGACTGGAGGGAGAAGGGCTAGAAACATGGCTCAGCAGGGCTGGAGAGGATGTGCCAGAGGGGCCGGGTGGCACCTCTGAGCTCTGGCTGTGGGCAGGGACCGCTGGGAGCCATGGGAGGTTAAACAGGCTGTGGAAACAGTCACTGCTTTTGCACGCCGGGGAGAGGAGGGACGGCGAGAGCCCAGGGCAAAGCAGCAGCAGCACTAAGCTGTGGGCAGACAAATCTGCTTCGGAAATCCAGCCCAGTTGCTTTTTTTTTTTTAAAGATTTTAAAAATTTATTTATTTGCAGAGAGGGAAGGGAGGGAGAAAGAGAGAGAGAGAGAGAAACATCCATGTGAGGTTGCTGGGGGTCATGGCCTGCAACCCAGGCATGTACCCTGACTGGGAATCGAACCTGCGACGCTTTGGTTCGCAGCCCACACTCAATCCACTGAGCTACACCAGCCAGGGGTAAATCCAGTCCAGTTGCTTTTAAATAAACTCTCGAGGGGGAAAAAAAAGAAATCGACTGTTATCTGAGGTGTTTGAAAAACATTTTTTCTCATGGTCTTTCTTTTTTATTCTAATAAATGGCTGGTTAAATGAACTACCTAGGAGACGACTTGGAATCGTCAGTTCTGATTCTGTTTTCACCCTTGCTTTTTTAAATGTTAGATTTGGTTTCCACTGCGCTGACTTTATTCTCCAAGTGAAAATGATCTTCTCTCCCTCTCCTCCCACCCCGTCTCCACCTCCCCGCGTGCTCCCACGTCCTCGCCGCCTCCCAGTCTTCCATCCCGTGGAGTGCTCCTACTGCCGGTGCGAGAGCATGATGGGCTTCCGGTACCGATGCCAGCAGTGCCACAACTACCAGCTCTGCCAGAACTGCTTTTGGCGTGGCCACGCCAGTGGTTCTCACAGCAACCAGCACCAGATGAAGGAGCATTCCTCCTGGGTAACCGCTTTGTGTTCCGTCTGTGTCCCCAACTGGGCTCCCGTGTCCCCAGTGTCGGCGTCAGCGTTGGGCCTGCTTCCAGCCAGACGCCCACAGATGAGGGTGTTGTGTAATGAGATCGCAACACTGACCTTTAGGGCTGGGCTTGCGAGGATGCTGTGCTTCATCGCTTGATTTTGAAAGCAGAATCTTTATATATTTTAAAGATTTTGTTTATTTTTAGAAAGGGGAAGGGAGGGAGAAAGAGAGAGAAAGAGAGAAATATTAATGTGTGGTTGCCTCTCGTGCGCCCCCAACTGGGAACCTGGCCCAAAACCCAGGCATGTGCCCTGACGGGGAATCGAACTGGTGAACCTTTGGTTCACAGGCCAGCATTCAGTCCACTGAGCCACACCAGCCAGGGCAGAGAGCAGAATTTTTAAAGTTCTGGAAGGTGGAGACTCTATTACACTTGCACTGGTTCCTTTTATTCAGTAAAATGGAATGTTGCAGTGCCCCCTTTCCAGAGTAAAAAGCTAGTTTTTTCTCATTGTAAAATTGTATGAGATACCTTCTAAATGCCTACTCTGTCATCTTTCAGTAAGATTTAAAGTTCCTTTTTTTTTCAAACAAATTTTCATAATGTTTATAAGGTTTAAATTTTTTAACTGATTTTTGGAGATGAAGGGGGAGGACAGAGAGTGTGCTGGATTTGTTGCTTCACTTACTTACGCACTCATTGGTTGATTCTCGTATGTGCCCTGACCGGGAGTTGAACCTGCAGTCTTCATACCGGGACAGTGCTCTAACCAACTGAACTAGCTGGCTAGGGCTGTTTGTAGGGTTTAAATGTTGTCAAGAAAGCTGTGTAAATAAAGAAGTTAAATTTTTGCCTCTCTGAGTTTGGGAAAATAGTATATTTTACAGTTGCCACATTAGTGTCCTTACTTTCAAAAGTAGTGTTTTAAAAAGAACAATATTTAGGTGCAGGTGATGTCAGATATTTGTGTGGTGTTTATAAATCATGTAGCAAGTTGAGTATCAGTAATTTTCTTCCCTTCTTTCAATTTATTTCCAGTTTTTAAAATGCCATACTTTTATTTCCAAAATGTTGCTGTAGCTTTGTTTTAGAATCTTTTTCTCTAATTTTCATCATCGGTTGGTTGGTTTGCTAAAGGGTGGAAAAATATGTAGGGTTATTAGCATAATTCAGGATTTAGGTTGTTAAGCCTGGCCATTCTACTGGACTTCAAGTATTAAGTAAAAAAAACTTATTTTCTAGTTAGCCTTCTTAAAAGTCAACCAAGAATAAACAAATAAGTTTATATCAGGAATTAGTTTTTGTGTTTTTTTTTTTTAAGCAAAAACTTCCACCGAAGTTTACACTTTACTCCCTGCATCTCTGGCAACGAGTTAGAGATTTTTTTCTCTATTATATAGTTTTTCAGTTACAGTGAACCATAAAATTTTGTTAAATTGAACATCCTAATCTGGGCCTTATTGTATTATAAATCCCAGTATCTTCTTGTTTGAGGAGTTATTTTAAATTTTTTTTTAACAAAGGAAAAACTAAAACCAGGTCATTTGTTCTCTTTTTCATTGAATAGAGAGAATTTATAGATTTTCAGTTGTCACTTTTTTCCCTCCTTAAGTGCAGGTACCCCACTCTGTTCTTTGGTCTGTTCATGTTTTCCCCGCAGTTTTCTGTTTAGAGTCTAATGCTTTCCACTGAGACAGCTCTTTGCTCCATTACTTTTGTAACAGTGGATTCCCCGGGGGGTCGCTAATGAAAATTCTCGTTCTCGATGTTTGTGCCGGGAGAAGGAGGATCTTCTTGTTCACCTTAGTTTGAACTTGCTCAGTTAACTAATTTATAGTTACCCTTTTGGAAGTGGGAATTTTAAATATAAGTGACTGTTGAAACGTTGCCTTATGATTCACGAAGCAGTTTTTCATGCTCTCTGTTGGCTTTTCACTGAGCTGTACCCTGTGTCAGGAAAAGTAAGGACATCACAAGCGAATGGCCATACTTCTGTTGGAGCCTCAGAACACTCTTGTAAAGTGAGCCTTACCCCCATTTGTTATTTTTATTGCAGCGCTTTTATTTTTTTCTATTTTATGAATCCATTTTTGCTACAATGACTCCAAATTTAAAGAAAAATCAAGTACTATCAGCATGCGTGAGTTTGAAGCTGGTGTCTGCAGGCGTCGGTTGTGAATTCTGACGAGTGTGTGTGTCACGTGGCAGATGCACGCTGGTGAGGTCTTCCAGCTGTGGGTGCACGGCTTGTTTGCAAGGTCAGGACTCCGTGTGCGCGACACCTTTGCTCTCTGAGAAAGCGCAGGGTGAATTTTGAGGCCGATGGTGAGAAAAGAAGTTTCCACCTAACAAAAAGATGTGTGATCATTCAAAAGTAATTTCTCTGAAGACTGTCCTCCATGTTTGTACCCACATGTTGAATCAATGTTTCCCCGTGTTCACAGTGCATGAATCTGATGTGCATTGAACCGGCTCATATGTGAATTCTCACTGTGGATTTAGTATGTGTATGTAGTATCGGTGCTTAGAAGGCTGTTTTGATTTTTCCAAAAGCTTCTGCTTAATGTTTCATCTAAGTAACTATGCAGTCTAATTCATTATTCTTCGAGTCAGCAATCCATTCATTTGCCTTTATTATATAAAAGACGCCATATGGTATCTCCATGATTCATCTCGTTCATTCATTGTTCATTCAGAAGATGGTTGTTGAGCGCTGCTGTGCGCCAGACACTGTAACAGGCACGAGGGGTGATGCATCGAGCAACAAACCAGACAGAGATTCCTGCCCTTGTGCAGTTTCGCTTTTAAAGGGCGTGAAAGAGGCAGCTGGCACTCGCCAACCTCACTGTCTTCCTGTTCCTGCCGGGCCCACACCTGACCTACATTTCTCAGTCCCCGGTATGTAGGCCGGACCGTGGGAGTAGTTCTCACCGGGGGAACGTGAGCAGAGGGATCCTGTCTTGGCCTTCCCAGGACAAGACAGTTAACAGCTGGGTGCCTTTTCTATCCTCTCGGTGAGCTGAGTGGAGAGAATTTCATTAGGACCCAGATGAGGGTGAAACCATGAAATGAAAGGAAACTAGTTTCTTGAATAATGGGTTGAGAAGAGTATCTTGCCGACCCGCTTGACTTTGATGGAGCAAGAGGGAAAACATTGTGGTCAGCTACTGAGGTTTTAGTGTTTTCGCAGTAGTTGGTACGAGGAGTGGAGTGCTCTCGGAACAAAACCTTAAGATGTGTGTCATCGGCTTAGCCTTCCAGTGGCACACTTACGAGGACACTGGCCTTGAAGCTAGGAGAGACAAACCCATGTTGTACAGTGGTGACCCGCTGGGCAAACTTGTTACCCGTGATACCTGGAAGGCACACCTCCTGCCGACTGAGCTCGAGGTTAAATGTTGGAAAGGACCACAGGGTGACTGTGTGTGTCAACTGTGATCGACAAGGTATTATGTGGAAGAGGTGAGCTTCTGAAAGAATTTGCTAGTTCTCAAGCAAACACTGAAAGGGAACAGAGAAAGTTCTGACCCTTGGGACAGTGAAAGGAAAAAACAGACTCTCTCTAGACCCTAGAGAGTAGGAGGTAAGAGTTGGGAAAGGCTTGGAGCAACCAAGGCCTAGCAGACTTCCCCAGGTCAGCAGAAGCATCTCAGTCCTGTGGCAAAGGTCAGATGAAGGGTACAGGTGCCTGTTCTTGGGTGCTCATCAGAATCGCCTTGGTTTCACCTGCACAGCTTCTGATTTAATGGTCCGGGTTACATGAAACCTGGACACAGGCAGTTTTTTAGAAGTTCCCCCAAGTAATTCTATGTATTGTGCAGCCAGAGTTGGAAACCACTGACCTGCTGCTTCATGTGGCCTCCAGGTGGCTGCCGTACGTGGAAAGCAAAAGTCATGGAGGCAGAGACATAACTCAGGCCCACGAATTATGTCTAGGAAAGAACTTCACCATTGCTGACACATGGAGCTGATGGGAAACACACAGATCGGAGGCGTACTGAGTTTTGGGGGGAATTACATTGGCAAGAACCATGAGCCTGGACTGAACAAGCCATTGAATGTTTGAGCTTAAAACCCACCTTCTAAAGACCCAGAACTTGCTCTGGCGGGAAGTGGGTTGTGAAGATTATATGGCCCCTTAGGAGGGCATGCCAGTCCCCAGCTGGACGCAGTACTGGATAAGCAAGAGCCTCCTGTGTCTGTCCCACCACTGTATGTTGGGACTGCAGGGGGAGGGTGCAGGTAGTTTGATTTTTTTAGTTCATAGGTTGCATCACAAAGAGCTACACATGATCTTGACGAAGAAGACTATGCTATACCCCGAGTTCCTGGCCTTGTAGTTAGAGGCACTGGCCAACTGGTAGGACTTCAGGTTTTCTTTTGAGGGGTAGAAGGGTCTGAGTGTGTTTTATGTTTAGGAAAAGGTAACAAAAAATATATTTAATGGTTAGGAGTACTCGCCAGTACTCCAAGTTTCCCTTCTCTTCCTAGACATGTAACTAGCATACATGCGTATAGCCCACCCTGCTTGCCGTCAGATGGAGCCATGTGATTAGTTTTCCCCAGTGCAATGTGTGAGGAAATGGTCTGTGTCACTTCTGTGTCCGGGCAGCCGAAAGCCTTCTGCATCTTCTCTGTCTTCCCCCTTCCACTTCGTTCTGCACATTGGCCAGATGGAAAGGTCTCCAGAGCAACTGGCCCAGGCAGAAGCCGTTAGATGGAGGGAGGCTGGGTGCCCAAACCAGAGCTCCTCCGCCAGTTCCCAGTGGACAGTAAATCAGGAAGGGGGTCGGGGCAGGGGCGGGAGAGTCCTACAGGCCTTGCTGAGAAAGTGAGATTTGAGCGTCTGAGACGTCTGCCAGCAGACGGCTGGAGGAGAGCAGCAGTGTTTGGGGAAGAGTGTTTGGGGTGCAGGCCCCAGGGCAGGAGTGTGCCTCTGAATTCGGGGAACAGCTCGTGGAATGAGCGGGGAGCATCGTAG